GGGGGGGGGGGGGTTTTTAGGGCCAAAGGGGGGGAGGTTTTTTGAGGACCCCCCATAGGGGGAACCAAAAAAAAAAAAAAAAAAAAAAAAAAAAAAAAAAAACCCAAAAACACAAAAAAAAAAAAAAAAAAAAAAAAAAAAAAAAAAAAAAAAAAAAAAAAAAAAAAAAAAAAAAAAAAAAAAGGGAAAAAAAAAAAAAAAAAAAAAAAAAAAAAAAAAAAAAAAAAAAAAAAAAAAAAAAAAAAAAAAAAAAAAAAAAAAAAAAAAAAAAAAAAAAAAAAAAAAAAAAAAAAAAAAAAAAAAAAAAAAAAAAAAAAAAAAAAAAAAAAAAAAAAAAAAAAAAAAAAAAAAAAAAAAAAAAAAAAAAAAAAAAAAAAAAAAAAAAAAAAAAAAAAAAAAAAAAAAAAAAAAAAAAAAAAAAAAAAAAAAAAAAAAAAAAAAAAAAAAAAAAAAAAAAAAAAAAAAAAAAAAAAAAAAAAAAAAAAAAAAACCCCCCCCCCCCCCCCCCCCCAAAACCAAACCCCCAAAAAAAAAAAAAAAAAAAAAGAAAAAAAAAAAAAAAAAAAAAAAAAAAAAAAAAAAAAAAAAACAACCCACCAAAAAAAAAAAAAAAAAAAAAAAAAAAAAAAAAAAAAAAAAAAAAAAACAAAAAAAAAAAAAAAAAAAAAAAAAAAAAAAAACGCGGGGGGGAAGGCAAAAGAAAAAAAAAAAAAAAAAAAAAAAAAAAAAAAAAAAAAAAAAAAAAAAAAAAAAAAAAAAAAAAAAAAAAACAAAAAAAACATTTTTGGGTTTTTTTTCTCTCACAAAAAAAAAAAAAAAAAAACCGCCCCCACTTGATCGGGATAAAGAAACCACTTTAAAAAAAACCCATTTTTTTTTTTTAGATTTTTCAAAATTTCTCAAAATCTATCGGTCCGAATCGGTTCAAATTCACAGGAAATGAAAATGGGGAAATAAAAAGGGAAAAAAAAAAAAAAAGGAGAGGAAAAAAGGAGGGGGGGAGGAAAAGAAGGAAAAAAGGGGGGGGAGAGAAAAAAGGGGGGGGAAGGGGGGGGGGGGGGAGGGGGGGGGGAGGGGGGGGCCCTCGAGGAAATATTTAGAACGCCTTTTTCTGTTGCAATCACTAGTTAGCTGAATCACTAAAAAAAAAAAAAAAAAAAAAAAAAAAAAAAAAAAAAAAAAAAAAAAAAAAAAAAAAAAAAAAAAAAAAAAAAAAAAAAAAAAAAAAAAAAAAAAAAAAAAAAAAAAAAAAAAAAAAAAAAAAAAAAAAAAAAAAAAAAAAAAAAAAAAAAAAAAAAAAAAACACCCCCACCAAAAAAAAAAAAAAAAAAAAAAAAAAAAAAAAAAAAAAAAAAAAAAAAAAAAAAAAAAAAAAAAAAAAAAAAAAAAAAAACAAAAAAAAAAAAAGAGGGAAAAAAAAAAAAAAAAAAAAAAAAAAAAAAAAAAAAAACAAGGGGGGCCAGGGAAGGAAAAAAAAAGGGAAAAAGGAGGGGGGAAAAAAAAAAAAAAAAAAAAAAAAAAAAAAAAAAAAAAAAAAAAAAAAAAAAAAAAAAACAAAAACCCCCCCCAGGAAATTGTTAACGAAAAACACAGCAAGTAAATTTCCAAAACATAATGAAAAACTAAAATTTAAATTCCAAATAATTTTAATAAATTAATGCCCCCTTAATGATCAAATTGTCCCCCTGTAGGGCGTGGGCCTGACGTTAAGAAACACTGGTCTAAAGCGTCATATATTAATGCTAATATTTTAGGGCACTTTTCTAATTTAACAATCTAAATGTAAATATAAAAAATAAAACCAATTAACTCACAGAACATGGTTAAGAGGTTAGAATGACGTTAAGAAAGGCTACTAAATTACATTAAAACTTTAGTTTGCAAGCTTTACTTGACCCGAGCCGGTATTATTTTCCAAAGCAAAAATAATTCTTAGAAGGGGTCTTGATAGTTCATTTCGTCGTGTTTGCTCTCATCGTACTAATTACAAAAAAATTCGGGTTAAGAACAAAAATGAAAACACACGGTTAAAACAAAGCCAGCTTCTATTTTGATAGATAAAAATAGCTTTTGTTTTCAGAGTACATTTCTGAAGAAAATGCACGTAATTAAGTAGGGAACTGGTGAAATTTGAAAGTGTATATATAGAGTGTAATTGTATGTTATAATTGAAATATAGCTATATTGCCTTTATATGGCAGTTTAGGCCAACTAAGCTGCCTTTAACCAGTCGTCGAATCACAGCGGATGTGTACCAACGGATTTTTTCATCTCTCATAATTTCAGTTTCATTAATAGGTGATTAGCTTTTTCGGCCTAACAACAAGTAACAAGTCGTCACGAAATGGCGGCTGTTTCACAATATGAGTAGGTACTGAATTCAAATATATAAAGAAACATACTTTAAAAATGTAGGTATATTATAGTTTATTGCTACAATTGTGTTATTGTAATTGTGCTAGAAATTGTTATCGCAAGTTTTAGTTTATAGCTGTTTCTATTAGTTTATTAAAAGTTATTTTCACGTTGGGTAGTCCAATTATCAAAGAATTATCATTCATTTATGAATGTGACTAAGTTTTTATATTATTATATTTAATATGATTTTATATTATATGATTATTTTATTTAATACTACATCAAGCTATCTATAACTAATGTTAGGTTAAGTCAGTCTGGGAAGGTTTAAACGGAAACACAATTAACAAGTAAAGAAACATACCCAAGACGAGGTCCGATCTCATTGGTCTCTTTTCAAAGTTTTTTATTGACTTTTGACAAAAATATATGTATGTGATACGAAGTTCACGGGGTCATCCAGTTAATACGTACGTAAGTTTTCACGTTTCGTCAATAAAGAACTCACAACTGTCCGCTCCTCTTTTTAATGAAATAGTTTGTTGGTAGAAACCAATAGAAATTTGTACGCTAATAATTAATACAATATGAACCCTACAAGCTTAATATTCTAAATAACGTTTTAATAGACGTAAGCGCTGCTTTTGCTTAGTTTGATTACACTCTATTAGATTAATTAAATGCCGCTATTCAGAAGGCTGTGACGTCGAGTCAAAGTTTAATATATTTTATGATAGCTGGGTGACATTTATTTAAGGATGAGCTAAGATATTTTAAACTAAGGGAATTATTCTGAAATGGGTATACAGTTTTAATGAATAAATTTAAACGCGCCTTCAATTAAAGACAATTAAATAGACTATTAAATGGTTAATAAAAGGGACTTTAAATGGCAATCAAAGTAAATGGTATTTTTAAATAGGTAACACTTACATAATGAATACATAACGAATTATTTATTGCTACCAAATTAAACTATTAAACCATATACAGAAGATACAGAAATAAATCAGTGGCGCTACAATCTCTTTAGGTCTGGGCCTCAGATTTCTGAATCTGTTTCATGATCATTTTTAAATCTAATAGGCTCAGCCTCCTGTGCCTGTCACCAGCCGTCGACTTTTTGGGTCTAAGACATGTCGGTTTCCTCATGATGTACTTCACCGTTCGAGCGAATGTTGAATGCGCACATTGAAAGAAAGACCATTGGTGCACAGCCGGGGTTCGAACCTATGACCTTAGGCATGAGAGTCCTACGCTGAAGCCACTAGGCCAACACTGCTCATACAAAAGATACACTAAAAACTACTCTTCAGAAGTCGTCACTGTGGCGTAAGCCTCCTTAAAACCATCCCATTTCGTCCTATCTCTGACCCATCCATTATGAGCCACATATCCGTGCAAATGTATCTCCTCCACCTCCTTTGTGAGTACAAGATAGAATTCATAATTAGTTTTGATATTTTTTTGATATGATGGAAACTAAAGTATATCAATCAATCGCAGCATTAACAGATTATCAAAAGCCATTTCTAAATCTTTATAACAAGTTCTAATCTGTAAGTAATTCTAAGTAAATTTCTTGTAATTTATTAAATATCATGTATTCCTTAAGGGTTATTTAGGGATTACATGTTTTACATTAATGTGTTTAATATGTCTATTGGAGCAGACAGCATGGCGAAGTGCCAGTTTATACAACTCGAGACGTAGCCAACATACTAACACATATATAACAAAAAGAACAAACAACTTATTAACCTACCTACCTACCCACCTACCAATCTACCTAATTACCTACCTACCTACCTACTACCAATTAACTGAACTATAGCTTTATTAATAGTAAACAATAATATTTGAATTCATCTGAGGATGTATGGTGTGTACCCTTTTTACCGACTCAACTATCCGACCTTATTTATTATATAGCTACAACGAGCTTAGAGCACGCCGAGAATTCGCTAGACCATCTACGGAATGGTCCCACGCATGGTGACTTAAAGTACTATGTCCCCTATGTGGGGCGGTGGATATCCAGCGTAGAATATCAGCTTGATCAGTCTTGGGCTTTTGACCAGGTCATTCCAGCTACTTTCGACTATGCAATGATTCTTCGTTGCTAGATCTGTTAGTCTGCCTTTTTCCCGTGGGGATTCCAGTAAAAATCTTTCTCGGCTATGTGACTTTGACCCCCTCCGGAGCCAGTTCCAGACGAAAGTATCACACAAAAGATAATATACTAATCTAATTCTATCACTTCTACTGTTACATGTAATTTTTTGTCATTTGTTAATCATTCACAATAATAATTAACAATCCCTCAGTAGGTGTTTCTTTTTTTATTTTTCCATACTAGGTTTGTCTGGAAGAAATCGCTTTTTAGCGATAAGGCCGCATAATAATTTATGTAATTTGTTGTTTATATGTAGGTTTATGGTAACGAAGTGTAAACAAAATTATACTAAACAATAAAAGGCAAAATTACTTGACATCGATAGGTCCTTTGAGACAATTTTGATTTAATGGTCAATTTGCATACTACATTATTGGCAATCAAAGTGTAAAGTTTCCAGCTCCCATAGCAATTTGGCTACACACCACAATAGGCCGTCTGTGGGAGCGGCGTATCAATATTTACAATGGTCGGATCGATAGCGTTGCAAGCGCTGAAGCCTTTACACGGTAATTTCACGGGTGAAAGTTCGAAACGGAATTACTTCTAGACAATGAGGTTTTTAAGTTCACATAATGGCAGCTAAAGATTACTTGTTATACCATACTTCAGTATGAGATTGTTATAAGGGGTCGATTATATAACTCACTGACCCGGCAAATCTTGTTTTTCTATATTAAATAAATATAGCCTTTATTGACAATCTTGTAAGTTACATTTTATCTTATTTCTTTTTTTTATATAATACCCGCAAACGAACTTGCGGGACGACCAAAAAGGGCAGTCTTCGCAGCCCATAGACCCCGATTTTTAGTGGGTGCGTTGCCGGCCTTTGAGGGAGGAGTACACTCGAGTTTTAAACATTTGAAATCGTATCTCTGAGGGAAGACCCCCAAGTCGATTCCACAGTTCGCTAATTTCTACTTGGTTATTAACGAAATTTAGTTACAGTCAATGTAATATATTCATTATTAATTAATATTTATTTTATAATAAATATTATCATTTTATTTCCTATTAGACACCGGTTTCTTGATCGTCTTGCTTTTCAGCATAGGCCTCCCCATGCGTTCTCCACAAAGATCTATCTCTTGCTTTTCTCGTCCAAGTCGCTATTTGCTATATTACATTAATGAAAATATTGATATATTTAAGCTCTTAATGAGATTTATATTTAGTTTTAGATTTTTTGCTGTTTGTAAAATTTGTGAATTCATATTTTCTTGTATATTTAAGCATATATATTATATATGTTGTTTGACAAATATAAAGGTGATTGGCTGTATATATTTTTTGTCAAAAAATGAATAATGCACGACTTATTCGAAGACCTATCGAGTACATAAAAAAATCTACATAAAACACGAATTTGTATATAGATGGACAGCGGGCTCAATTAATGTAAAGTTTATTTCGCCCATGGATAAAGATTAGGTTTGCCCATAAACCTAGTTGTAAAGGAGTTCAAAAGTTTTGTTTCGGTTATAATTTCAACTTAAGTCTAAAATAATCAAACATTTTCATACTTTACAATATATTACGACATTTTTGATCCTAAAATAATGATATTTATTTTACGTCGACAAAAGATTTGACTGATTCAGTTACGTTCACAAACAAGCGAAAAACTTAACCTTTTGAATTTTTCATTCAATTTTTAAATAATCCTCTTACAATGGATTTAGATCTCGATGTCGGAGCCAATCAACATTTTACTTTTCAAACAAAAATAATTTATCATAACGTGTTCTACAATTGCTATGTCAGTTATATATGAACAGAGCGGGAATTATACATGCGCCAAAACTTGTAATACAGGGTCACTTTTACTCTTCTCGGGAATGTTTCCTAGTGTTATCGCGTCTAAATAGTTTAACTAATTTATTTACAGGATTCGGCGGCCTCATCAGATAATTCCACCGATAGACAATATAGCATTATCAATCACCTCTGAACCGTGAAAACTTAAAGAAAGCAAATATACCAGATATTAAAAAATATAAAAGCATAAAAAGAATATTTAAACTTACCTCCACCCAAAGAAACAAGAAAAAAATAGAGCAGTGGGTCCGAAAGAATGACAAAACAATAAAGTTATGATTTGAGAAATGTTTATATCGTTATAACTATAATATTATCTTCAATACACTCAATAAACTAACTCTATAAATAGTATGTCTAACGCAAGAACTCATCAGTACTAATCTAGTGGATATTATGAAAAAGATAACAGGATGTAGATATTTTCGAATTTTAATATCATAAATTTAATTGGTAGAAATATGTCAATTTTCTTATTAAATTTTTTATATCTGGGGTAGAAGTACCGCAAATACCTAAATTATAACTCTGCAGGGGGTGTGAGCTTTATAGAGACATCCCGTAGAACAATTTTTTGCACCTGATGACCTCATCTATCCCCTATTTGCGTTTGATCCACGACTTTTTGTCCACTCTGTAGGTTTGATTTCGTGTATATTGGCATATTTTGCGGCTTATTACAATCGTAATATTTCAGTCAATTTATATTTAACCATAATGAATTATACAAACGAATTAGCATAGAGTATTGCTAATCGATTAATTGCGCTATGTTATTAGCAGATTACTTCAAATTAAGGACAATTTCAAAACAATAACGCGTAATAAATGCTGATTTCATTTTATTATTTACACTTGCTCCTACGGTCAAAACATCGCAGGGAACTGATATTTTCAAAATTCTACCAAATGTGTCACTATAACGGCAAACTACAATCTATAAAAATATCAAATAAGTATTTGGTTGTACTGTATTCTTAACTAACGGAAAATGTAATTAAGGTAAAGCTTAAAAAATACAGTCAGCAGTTTATTAATTCTCTGAGCTCAGAAAGTTAATCGCTTTACTCCGAGACAAACAACATTAAATTACTTCTTATACAATCATCCAAGTTCAGTAGTAAAGTATGACAGAGGTCGTAGGTTCAACTGCTGGAACTCTAACAATGAAAAATTTAATCAAGAACGGAGCTATCAATACTTATAAGTAACTCCTTTATAATGTAGCAACTGAACCAATCTTTTATTGAAAGAATACTGGAGATTGAAACATTTATTTGCGAACACTAGAGTTGAAACTCACGCAATCGTTTGGGTTTAATGTTTTTTGCGTTCTTATCTGTTTCATTGAAATTATTTATTTGAAAGGCACGTTATAAATCAATTTAGACTATTGATAACGAATCATAATTTTAGCTACACAATTTGCTATTTATATGTATTTCATTTTATAGAAACGATTTGGCGATCGGGCCTTTGACGTACACCGTGGTTTTTAAGTGGCGGTTTTTTAAGATGTTTTCCTTCACATCTCACTTCTTTGTGAGATTTAATTGCGTATATAGAAAAAAAAGTGCGTGCGTACAAAGTATACATGGCAGAAGTGAAACTTCTTTGGCAAACAAATTTATAAGTATTGTTCATATTTATACAAATCAAAACCTTTAGATTTCCGAGACTTAGAAAGGAGGGGAAAAGGAAGATAATATGTTAGAAATTTAATGATATTAATTGTCATTAAAATATTAAAAGTGTCAAAAATTAATACAAATTATAAATTTATTTATATAAAATACTAATATTTCATAAATTCTCTTTAAGAAATTTTAATTTTAGAAATACGTTTCTCAATCGCTCTCAATCGCTGTCTCCCTTTTCTTCGACATATCTTCGTGACGCTAATATTATTATTATTACGTTTCATCCGTAAAATTTTACCCTCATGCGCCGAAAGTTACATTTCAAAAAGTCCATTGACGTACTGTCGTGAAACGAACGCCCGACCCCAGGGCTGATAGGTGCATTCAAGCCGCTAGTCCAAAAACATACAGATAGTATACACAATTAAATAGTCGGTGATACATTACTTACGTTTTGGTTTTTTAAATTTGAAAAAAAAACTAAACACTATCTTTAAATAAATAAGTAGCGTCTCTTGGCTAACTTTGAATTATTAACGTTGAAAAAGCATTGAAAACCCATTTATCTTGAACCACAATACACCAATGAAAGGTGGAAATTAACCATTATCCCAAGCCGGGTCCAACCAACGCGGAATACGTAATTTCAATACATTTTACTATTCCGAAGGATCTCTCTTTTTTTTTTTATGGCTCTGGCACGATTTGTGCATTAGCCAGCGTCAAGTATAGGATTTTTTATAATTCGTGCTTGTCTTTTAGAAATTCGACAGTGTCCTCTATGTACGGTTTAAGCACTCGCCCGGTACCGCCCTCCCAAAGGCCGAGAACAAATTTAAATTAAATTAAAACTTGCCCTCGAACCGGGAATCGAACCCGGTACCCCTCACCAGCTGCGAAGGATTTCTTATTGTGAGCTACCGGATGTGATTTACCATAATACCTCTTTTGGAATTCTAATACTCTTGATCCACAAATCTTTTTCATAGATAATAATTTATTTAGTGAAGTTCTGTGCGGGTTACATTCGTCAGTCTCAGTATATTGATCATAATTGCAAAATTTATTATCACGACGTTAAAACAAAATATTAATGTTTCTCATAGATGTTTCACTGCTATGAGTTTTGTTCCAGCATAAACCGCTGCGTGAATTGCTAAAGTTACTTCTTATTGTATCATGTTATTGAATATATAATTTTATTTTCAGTCGTTCCAGAGCCAATTGTAAATTCTCCCCGCCCACTTGGACAACAATCCCCTTTGCCCGGTATAGAAGAAGAGGACGATTCCGACTGGCCCCTAGAAGACGCCACGGACGCTACTCTCACCCCCTCCTACAAAAGCACAAGAAGCAGCTCGGACACTGTTTATACATCCTCAAGGAGTTCGAGCAAAAAGCGAGGTTTTGGAAGCCCTTCATCAGTCAAGATATGTGTCTCTGCGGCGGCCAGAAAGTCCAATAAGGCCAGAAAGCGTAGCGCAGCTGCTAGCGCTTCGCCCTCTGGTCAAACTGGAGAAGAGCCACCGCCCCCGCCCCCGCAACTTCATTTCGTCAAAATGCAGGCCGAACAAGGCAGTATTGGCGAGCTGCAGAAATACCACGGAAGATACCTAAAGAGCCGGAGACACACCCTCGCCAATGTTCGGTAAGTATTATTGGGATCTCAATATTGCAGTCGTAAGCTTTTTGCAGAATATTGGTACAGTTGTCATAAAAATATATACAGTTTGTCGTTGAGATGGTCGTAAAATCATCTTAAAAGTCGGTGCCAAAAAGCAAATATTACTTTTTGAATTTCATCGGCAGAAGTGAGTCCGTACAGTTTTTTAGACGTTTATTAAAATAACTGCGTTGTATAATAATGTTAATTGCTACTTTATTTTAATTTCATACGTTTTAAAAATATTTCTTTTAAGTATTATATATGTATATTATATTTTTAGACTGATGACCAAGCTTAGTTTTAAATCTTTAAATATTATTTTTTGTAATATAATATCGGAGATCTTAACTTATGTGGTGAGATTAAAATTAAACGCATTCTAATCTTGAATACTCGTATTTCTATACAACGACATCTTATTCTTAAAAATTGAGCTTTATACTTTAACGAATTTAAGGCACTATTTTATACACCTTTACTACCTGTTATCTTCCCAAGTAACCACTACCCAAACTCTATAGTCCCTGGTCGTTCTTACCTGTATAGGGGACGCGCACAGAAGAACTTTCAGCTTTTATTAAATAACGAAGGTCTGGCCGTCCTGGGCTCTTAGGCCATCTAGTTCTAGCTAGAATTCAAACAGATTCGTAAACGTTCGCATAGACGTTGAGATGAGTCTACTGTAAAACAATGTTATTTTCTTGAATTTTTGGGTACATCCTAGCAGCACGTTAGATTTAAAAAAAAATACGCCTTGATAATTAAATAACGATTTATTTGGAAATAACACGAACAAGACAAAACAATGTGACTTTAGTTAATACACTACTACACCTAATACTCCATGTGCTATGGTTTCCACTGAGGAAGCGTAATTTTTAACAGCCTGCCCAGAGTAAAGACTATCAAATATATTAAAGGATTTATTTTCTAAATACTAAAGGAACGCTACACGCGACATTATTTTGTACGTGATTAATTTTAATATGGCATTAAAATATGCATCATAATATAAAAAAAAACCCATAATATTTGTTATATAAGGCCTGGTATTACGAGCGTAATTGTATGTTCCAAATAATGATGGTCACAGATGAAAATTCAGAACTAGTATATTGTATATAAATTAATACTAAGTTTGATAAAGTGATACAAATTATTATATTAGGTTCTAAGTTAAATTCCGGTGTGGTTGTCGGTCTTTAAGCAACTGAATTCCACTGTAGGAACAATGTCGTAGAATCTTCCAACTTCCAATATTAACACTTCTAACTATAAATTCCTGCTTTAAAATATTTATTTGTCTTATTTTTATTAGCTTAACAATGGAGGAACCCTATACAAGTTTTCAACTATATGATAAAGTCAAGCAATCGTGCGATATTAAAAACTTATCCCAACTATTTAAAGCAAAAAGGAATATTTAAGTATTCGTCGACAAGCTGCGCTTTCTCAGAGACCAGTGGGATAGCTGTTAATAAACGCAATTTCTTGCTATTAGCTTCGTAGACTTGAAAACTTTGCGCGGCTACCCGTGGCGGACGCCACATCTTTTTCAATTTACCATAGTTTGTTCGCGGTCTTGTTCTTTGCAATTTTAAATTCAATAATTATAAGTATTGTAGTTGTTTGGGTATTTTATTTTCTTAAAGTTCTCGAACAGTTATCATTAACAAGCTCTACTATGAAGGTATCCTTACAAATAAAACTGCTGACATATCTTTTTGAAGTGAAAATTTTTACGGAACGTCACGATCTTCGTGCAGCGTTTTTGTCGAAGAAAAGGGAGAGAGCGATTAAGACCGATTGAGAGAGAGTGAGAAGGGTGAATTACCTTATAGAAATTTTATTTTTAAAATTAAAATTTCGTAAAGAGAATTTAGGAAATATTACTATTTTATATTTTATGCTAAACAATTTCTTGAAATCTCAAGTTACGAATTGTAAATTAAAATGCCACGTGTTTTTATTATCGAAGAAATAAATTTAAATATTAAATTTATTATTTGTATTAATTTTCGACACTTTTAATAATTTAATGACAATTAAATTCATTAAATTTTTATTTATTTATATTATCATTAGCACGTTTACAATGTGTTTACGGTGTGAATATAGATATATACACATGAAGTGATCATCTACTGGTACATCAAAAGCGTATTGGATTTTGACTAACGAACTGACATAAACAAATACCATCGAATAAGAGTATTTCAACGAATCGGGACGACACGTATATGCAGAATGTTATACGGACACGTTTTTGTGTCATCATCGATAAGACTGGTTGCAGCTTATAATGATGGGCATCCAAGGCAAGAGATGGGCTGGTAGAAGAAAGAAGTGGTTAGGAAACGGTATTGGACCGGCATCACATCCGCTGAGGAGCTTTTTAGACTAGCGCAATTCAAGTTGTTAACAGCCAACCTTTATTAATAAAGTGGCACCTGAAGAAGAAGAAAAAGTACCCAAGTTCTTTAGGTAACGTTGTCTCCATACTAAAAACAGAAGTATAAGAATGTTTGTTGTTAGTATTTCCCAAATATTTGGGTTAACGGCGAAGAATGTCCAATATGCATAAATCTTGAAACCCACTTCAAATGGATCAGAAGAACGTATAACTTTAGGTTACAAATGTAAATGGACATCGTATAAAGCCTTCCGCTTGATGAATACTAAATTGTGACATATAACTTGAAATGATATCTATGAGTGGCATAATTTAAAACTATGCCATATTTTTGTAAACTGCCAATATTTTATTCATATGGTTTTATATCAGCCCTGCGATTCTGTAACTCACTTTTCGAACTCACACAGCGGTTTTCGCATCGGCGGTCGCTCTCAAATCAGTCGTGAAGCAGTCATTTTATGATTTGGCATTCTGAAAAGGTGGGAATTGTAGTTTATTGTTTATCAGAATGCCAAATCATAAAATGACTGCTTCACGACTGATTTGAGAGCGACCGGCGATGTGAAAACCGCTGTGTGAGTTCGAAAAGTGAGTTACAGAATCACAGGGTTGAACTCAAACGATATTTGAACAAATTAATTATTTATAGTTTTATTAAACCCATACTTATTCCGAAACGGCATGGGTTTGATGAGGTTTAAGTTTATTTGTATTATTTTTTATTTTGTGGTTACTTGTTTTTTTTTTCCCTTTCTAGCTTGCTTATGTTCTAATATAATTGATGTGTATGTGTGTAAAATTTGTGATGTCATATTTTCTTGTATAATTTTATGCATACACGTTGTTTTGGCACTTATAAATAAATTTAAAATAATACAAATGTCTGACTACGGTTGTTAGCATAACGAGCAATATATAAAGAACAGGGTGTTGGGTTTAAACGTGCATCAAACCCCTGAGGTCATGCATTCAAATCATGGCACCAATGGAATTTTCGATGTACCAAATTACACTTGCTCCAACGGTAAACTTCGTTAGACGCAGAAAGGTTGATCACCTTTTTGGCCTTAAGTGATTAATGAATAAAGCCTGAGGTGAAGAACTACATAGGGTAGTACTACTGTAGCGCCACTGAATTATTATTATTAATAGTTTTACAGTTTTTTTTTTAATTTTGTGTAAAATCTTTTATGTTGCGTATCTTGTTGTTGATCGGTTTTCGATAAGTCCAGTTTGTATGACAGTTAGCGCTCCGAGAAGGTTAGAAGCCTCATCGGGCAACTTGTGACAACGACTGGAAACTCCTTGGAGTAATCTCGCGTTGTTGATTTGTGTTTTTTATAGCCATTTATATAGTAATACTAAGTAAAACCTTGCGGTAAAACATAAAATGTCTCAATGTTTAGCGTGCAGTAATAAATGCAACATTAAAATGGCAGTTACTTTTTAGTGCTGACTTTATGAGTACTCTCAACGATATTTTGAATAATATTTAGTTTCGCTCTCAATTTGTATGTTGTTTGGTTCCGGTGTGAAGACATCTGGTCTGTTATTTAAAGGTGTACGGTTCCTGGGTCATCGGGGTACTTTAAATAAAATAAGTTTTTTGTTTTACTCTATATTAACCACTCGTGTATAACTAAACTAAGAGCCTGAGTGAATAAAATGTACAGCCCTGGCAATAATAATAAAAGGTCTATATCATTAACTGATATGTTTACAAACAAATTAATTAAAATACTAATACTTGATATACTACTATTGAGAGCAGCCCTGCGATTCTGTAACTCACTTTTCGAAATCACACAGCGGTTTTCGCATCGGCGGTCGCTCTCAAATCAGTCGTGAAGCAGTAATTTTATGATTTGGCATTCTGATAAACAATAAACTACAAGCTCCCACCTTTTCAGAATGCCAAATCATAAAATTACTGCTTCACGACTGATTTGAGAGCGACTGCCGATGCGGAAACCGCTGTGTGAGTTCGAAAAGTGAGTTACAGAATCGCAGGGCAGTGCTGGCCTAGTGGCTTCAGCGTGCGACACTCTTCAATACCAATAGACTTTCTTTCTATGTGCGCATTTAACATTTTCTCGAACGGTGAATACATCGTGAGGAAGCAGCTTTAGACCCAATAGGGCTGATCACATACTTGCCTATTAGATTGACACAGATACAGAAATCTGAGGCCCAGACCTAAATGGGTTGTAGCGCCAGTGATTTTTTTATTAATTCTTAATATTTACTAATTTTATTTTAAATGTATATTTTTTAAATTCCATATTGATCTTTTATCATTTAGTACGACGACATTTCCCTTTGCATCTATTGCCAAATATAAAATATATCATATCGCAAGACGTTGTAAAATTTGTGAAAATTAAACATATGACAATTTGATTATTTTACAGCTAAGAATACTTCTATACAAGAATTAAGGTTTCTTTTAGCATCCGGGATCTCTTTCGCACATGATTAACCAACAGCCTTATTGGAGATCCTGCTGAGAAGTCACGGGGATCCCTACATATAACAGATACAAAATATATTTCATTACAGGGTTTTGTGTG